AGCAGACCTACTGTAGGACTTGCAGCGGGACAAACCCTTGGGCGAGCCATGCTGCTCTGCTCAGCAGAACACTTCCCCTCCTAGAGGAGACCCAGGTTCTTCATATCATCGCGGGCCATGTGCTTGGCTGACTTGTGGGACTTGTTCGACTTGGTGAAGACGACCGGGATGTCGTCGAGGAGGTTCCTCGCGTGCTCCCACGACACTTCTTCGCCACCAAGTCGCATCCACTTGACTTGGACTTGGTATTCACCATCAGCGAGTCGTACCTTTTCGAGACGTTCCACGTGGAATCCGCCATCGCCGTGCGCGATGTGATTGATGTGGTCTTCCGTGACCTCAAGACTTGAATCTTGGTACATCTTGAGCCGGCACGAGTGGTGCGTCGAGACTACGAACGGCGGTACCAGCTGCTCCGTCTCCATGACGTGGTCGGTCACCACGCGGACGGCTTGATTGGGCCCGCGCCACTGCAGGGCCTACTTGTTCGAGCGCTGAACGACTGATCCAACTAGTACGTAATCGTCGACGGCAAAATTCGTGAACTTGACCTTGTTTTTCTTGTCGTGACACCCACGCGCCTGCTGGCGCAGCTTCTCGCTTCGTGTTAATACGTCACGGTGCAGATCATGCAACGCTGCTGCGAGCGCATCAACATGTTCTCGTCGGACGTCGTCAAGGAAATCAATAGCGTGAACTTCCTTGGTTGTTGGGTGTACGAACCCGACATTGGCGTCTTGGCTGGCAGGCCAGTGAACGCAGTCACAGGCGCAACTCCGCCCAGCCGATTTGCTGGCTGGTGATCAAGCGCGCCTTGAACTAAGGGCAGGACCAGTTGCCACTTTTCGACCTTGAGTCGCACCTCGTTGAGCAGGACCTTGACTGCTCGTAACACGAGTCGATTGACGACTTCGACGGTGCCATTGGCCCACAGTCTATACTCTGTCGTGATGCGGTGGTGCGCACCGACCATTTTTCGAATCTTCTCGACCACTTCGTTCTTGAAGTGAGCTCCACCGTCGCTGACCCATCTTGAGACAGCGTCTTCCACACGAACTTGTCCCCGACAGATTTCGTCGTCGCGGCAATGCGGCGGTGACCCGCAGCGCCTTGGTGTGCTATCACGCACAAGCGTTGCTGTAGGTCTACAGCAGTGTCCGGTACCCAAACGCGGTCGTCGCCATCAGTGTAGAACGACAGATCGTCGTTCCACGCCACGTCGGGTGGGTTGGGCTCTGCCCCTTCGATGGACTTCCTGGGACTCCAGAATAGATATCGCCGTCGGCCATTCGAAATCGGCCAAGCGTAAAGGCGACACCACTTGAACGAGACCTCGCACATGTGCGACTCGTGGTGAAGATGAGCTTCATCCCCAGCGACTGGTCGCCCCAGACGTTGACATCGCCTGGCAGACAATCGATCGTGCAGGGAAATGTCGACATGCGACATGTCGCTGAAGCTTGTCGGCTTGATACTTGGCGAGGTTCCCGTTGGAGCCTCGCGGGTTGAACATGTACACCAAGATGTACACCAAGTTGCGGTGATCGGTAAACAGACGAAACCCACCGGGTCTCACGACCAGATAGTCGAGTCGTTTGCACGACTCGACCACAGCGTAGGCCTCTTTCTCGACGATCGGCCATCGTGCGCTGGCGCCAGCAAACGTCCCGCTGATGTACGCCAGGGTTCATGCCGTTGGTCTTCCAGCGGCAGTTGCAATCGGCAGGTGGTACTTGGGTCGCCACAGCGCCCCAAAATTGGTCGCTCGCATCGGTATAGACGCAGACTTCCATGTCTTCTCGCGGGTGCGACAACGGCGCGACGTTCATGAGCGCGGTCTTCACGTCGACAAAACACTTGTCGTGGACATCGGACCAGCCAATTGCGGCGAGCGCAACACGCGCCAAGGCAGTCTTCTTGCTGCCCCCAGCCGTCTTGGACGCAATGTCGAGTAAACGCCGTAATGGATCGATCAACTTGTTGTAGTTGGGGATGCTCGCACGCATCCAGTTCGTCGCACATACGAACTGCTGCAAGTCCGCTGCAGTCGAAGGTGGCAACAGGTCGACGAGACCTTGGATCCGACTCGGGGAATGCGTCACCCCCGCGGCCGATATGACCTTGCCGCACCACTGGGCTTCCTTGAGGAAGAAGTCACACTTCTTCGGGTTGAGCTTCAAACCGAAACGACCGCATGTCGTCAGCACTTGGTCCAGGAGGCCAAATAACTCGGCCACCGTCTTGGCCGACCCCAGTAGATCATCGAGCCACGCGAGTAGCCCCCGAAAGAGCAGGTCCCCAAACATTTGGTGGACGACCGACTGGCAGTAGGCGACTGCGTCGGTCTGACCCATCAATACCCGGGTCGGGGTGTACACACCAAACGGAGTCATGAAGGAGAAGAACTCCTGTGATTCGGGGTGCAGCGGCAGCTGCCGGTAGCCTTTGGTCCAGTCCAACGTGAAGTAGACCGTCGCACCGACGAGGCACACCATGGCGCTGTCCAGGTTTGGCATCGGCCAAGGCATCGGCTCGGTGCAGGCGTTGATAGGCCGACTGTCGATAGTCATCCGTAACGCTCCTGCTTCCTTCTTGGGCACGATCCGTGGAGAAGCGGCCCACGTCGATCGGTTGTTCAAATAAACCATGCTGTTGGCTTGAAGAGCAGCGACATGCTCCCGCATGTATTCGACATGCGCCGGCGAATAGCGCCGCATGCCACACTTGACAGGCACCAAGTTGAGTTTGATGCGCACCTTCAACGGTTCCACCTTGACGGGCGCGTCGTCGCCCAGGTCTTCTCGGAACAGGTCCACATGCTTGGACAGCAGTATCTCCAGCCGCTCCAAGTGTCTAGGAGCGAGGCCACGCGTCTCAGCTTCTGCGACCTTGGCCATCAGGATGCCAAATACCTTGTCTCGCTTCATGCGACGCCGCTCGTCTTCTTGATCGCTTGGCGGCGGGATTTCGACCTCTGGCGTGGCTCACGTCATGCCGTCGGTATCGGAGAGCTCGGGATCGGGCGAATTGCGTTCTTCAGCCAAGAGACGCTACACGCGTGACATGCTGGTCACTGGTCCGTCGCTGCCAGGGGAAACGTCCCACTCGGCCTGCTGCCCTCGAGCGCCGTCGGGTAGGTCGTCAATAGAAAATCCCAAGACCTCCATAACAGGACGACTCACGATAAAGTCTATCGCAGTCGATGTCTCGTCAATCCACGCTTGTAGGTCGCGTTGCGTGAGCGGACCACACGTCGTGTCCAACGTCACCATGCTAAACTTGACATTTCGACGCCATAAGGGTAAACCAGACGTGGTTGGTCGTGCACTTGAACCGCAACCGTGGCATTCTTCTCTACTAACGCATCCATGACCCCCACGTGAAACGACTTTGACGTCTGCGCCTGTGTCGAGGAGGACGTTCTCGACTCGAACGAGTCCTTCGACCAATGCACCGCGCTCGGTCGGATGACGATTGGGGTGGCTGCTTAGGACTGTCACGCCATCGCGCCACTTCTTCAGCTGCGCATCCAATAAGCGGTCCGCCTCGCCAGGCGTTGCCGCAGGGCAATCTGCCACGTAGTGACTCTTGTCGCGACACTTCAGACTGCCAAGCTTCTTCTTTGGCTTGTAATCTTCTTTTACGCCGGTAACGGCTGGCTTCTCGACCCCTGACACTCTGCCATCGGCTCTTCCGTTGCCGTCGGATCTACCCCGGCCTTTTTCGGGACCGTCAGGCCTTCCATGGCTCTTGTCGGCGCCGTCGGGCTTGTCAAGGCCGCTCTTCAAACTGTCCGTCTTGGAGGCGCCGGCTTGTGGCGCAGGTGCCATCACTTCGTCGAGACCGACGTAGAGCTAAAAACCAGCTGAGAATTGTCGCAACCACTTGACGTAGCGAAAGACGTCACTCTTGAGGCCCTTGTTCCTCTGCAGTTGCAGCTGCTTCTGCACAGCGGTCTTCAGCGTCTCAGGCTTGATCGCCTTGGTCATAATCCCGACAACAATTTTTCCTTCTTGATGAAGGACCCATTCTTGGTTGTCTTGTTCGAGCACTCGCATAAGGTCGTCAAGCATACGGCCGACACGCGACTCCGCGTCGAGGACCTTCGTGTCGAAACGTATGGCATTTGAGAGCCACCTCTTCAGGACGTCCAAGTCTTGCGGATCTTGATCGAATGCCGTGTGGAACCAGTCCACCCATTCCACTACCGTGACATCGTTGTGGTCCTTGTTCATGTCGAACAAAGCAATACGACGCTTGGAAAAAGGGCTCATGCAAGCATTGACGGGCATCGCGAACGGGCGAGAACCAACGCATTGCAGCGCATAGATTTCGCCAAGTACTTCTGGTACTCGCGCATGAACGCACGCCGCTCCGCCTTCGCAGAACCCTTGAACAGAGGGGCCTGAGGAATAGCAGGCGCGTTCCAAACTTGACGCACGAAGCCATGTCAACGTCTTCCATAGGGCTATCTTAAGCAGTCTCTTGGGTGGCGGCGGCACCTGTCGCGCGCGTCGATTCGGCTTGATCGGCGCCCATCGCGAAAGCTTCTTCAGGTCGCTCCGCTAGTAGAGGCGGGCCGCCATAAGGTGCGGGACTGATCAGTTCCCCTTCGCCTTGGCGAAATCACGCGTCCGCGGAAAGAGAAGCTCGTCGTCCCAGGGATCGAAATGGGTTGGCCACTTGGCGCCGGACGTTTGTTTCATGGGCTTATCACTCCAGTCGAAGCTACTTTCATGCTCCACAACGATCTTCCCATCATGGATCAAGGCACTGTGCAGAAGGCAACGCTTGCCCAGTAGGTAGTGCTGGGGACATACTGAGAGCGGCGGATGAAGCGAACTGAGCCTTCGCAGTGATCCATGATCATTTCGTGCACCATAGCCGACAGTACCGCGAAGACTCACGCAACTCCTCTAGGAGGGGAAGTGTTCTGCTGAGCAGAGCAGCATGGCTCGCCCAAGGGTTTGTCCCGCTGCAAGTCCTACAGTAGGTCTGCTATGGTGTGCATCAACTAGGGATCCTAGTTGAGAAAGAAATGTACCTTAGCGGATGCTAGTCAGTAGGGGCCACGTGTCGTGGCCTAAGTCTAATGTCAGTTTTGAAGTTGCAGGGGCGGCGAACAACCTCAACGGATACCAGCAGGAGCGCAAGTCGGACGCTACCACAAGTTACAAGTGGTGATGGTGCTAAGGTTGGATGGCGATGGCATGGCACAGTTCTT